TGGGGGTCCTGGCTCTCGAACTAGATGTCTTGGGGCCAACGGGGGCAGGGAAGGGAGGGGCATGGGGGTTGCCTCTGTTCGTGCTGCTCAACACGGCCGCAAGCCTACAGGGGGAGGAGTGGGGGGGTGGGGGTGGGGGGGGCATGCGCACACAGGGGACACAGGGGAGGGGGGAGCTGGCGGCATCAGACAACACCTATCCTTATCAATTCATGCTTCTTCCGGGAAACACTCGACAGATTTTCACTAACGACATCGGATCCAAACCTGTTTCACCAAGCGCTGAAGTAAAACAGACAAGACAGGAGTATACAACTCCCATCTGTCGCACGCGCAACACTCATCTCCTTAAAAGGGCAATCAATCCTTGGCTAGTCAACCTTCCGTCGCTTCAACTAGAACCCACACCCGAAGCATCCACCAAGTCCCATCTGTTGTTGCTTGAGTGGCCCCTCTCCGGAATCGTTTCGAAATGGCGCCCCAATTCGTGATCCCTATGATGAAGCGAAGTGATTTCGCCGTGGGGGACACAACATGGAACGCCACTACGAAACGGTTCCAGAGAGGCGACACTCAAGCCACAACACATTGGGCAAGTTACAGGGCAATCGATGCTTGAGAAGTCCACCTTCCGTGATTTGCACTAGAACCGACACCCCGAAGCTCCGTCAAGCCCCGGTTGTGACTCGAGTGTCCAGATTCGTTTCGTACTGGCGCTCCATTTCGCAACGCGAAACGGTGCCCTACGACGAGACATTTCAACGCGAACTGATTCCGTAGACGGGACACTCCAGCCACAATAGCTTGGCGCTTCGACCGCTACGACAGACCAACCCAACGAATTACCTCTGGGGGAGACCCGCAGCCGAAGCTGCTGCGTCGCGGAGCTTATCCGAAGTTGAAGCCGCCCTGGTTGGGCTGCGCGCCGAAGGTGGTGTCAGTCCCTGCTTGTGTCGGCTGCCCGAAGGCGAACTGCTGGGCGCCCTCGGCCTCCAGGGGTGCGATGCCGTTGTCCTCCTCGTCCTCAACCCCGAAATACCGCTCGAGGAGCTTCAAGGCCTTGTTGTAGATGTTGTTGTTGTCGTGCATCTGGAGCTGTTCGATACGTTCCATCCCTCCGCACTCCATGATGTACGTGGCCATCTGGTTGATCTCCTGCCCCTGCGCCTTCGCTTCCGTGTCGCCAGTCTGCAACACACGTCCACAACGGAGCAAACAACACAATACAGGGCCGTTGAGAAAACAACAACGTCCGGAAACTCCACGAGCCCAGAGGCAGGATAAGTGGTCTGCGCGAAGTCTAAGAGTCATCACTCTCTTCGTCCCCTACTGCTTTGCGCCTGTAACAGCCAAAAAGCGTCCACAACGCTTTTCAATCTTGTTTGTCGCTGGGTGATGACAATCGCCGTCAACCTGGCTGCGATAGGGGCTACGGCAGAGCAGGTACTAAATACCAACGGATCAAAGTGTTGGCCTCATCGCACCTTGAGGATGTTCTCGAGACCCTCGAGCGCTACCGTAACGATCTTAGCGTCATGGACTTCAAGCAAGTCCGACAGGGGCGGGATGCAGCCCTCCGTAACCAGGTACTTGATCTGCTCCGGCTTGCCGCCACTAGTGGCGTTCGAAATTGCCCACGCTGCTTCCTGGAGGGGGTGGAGCGCGCGCAAAGTTGGCGACAAACGCACGTGGCACCCGGGAGCGCAGCAGTTGAAGGCAAGTGACAAAAAACATGTTCAAATAATTCGAATGGGCCCTGTTGTACGCGCGCGAGACGAATTTTCGCTTGTTCGGGGGTACGGCAAGCGCGGTTAGACTAGACAGCACCCCCCCAACACTCTGGCGGTTTCGAGATAGCCAAGAGGGTCGCCGAGCGCGCACAATATCAGCAGGAACGAGAGGGGACGAGAGTAGAGCCCACAAGGCAAACCCGAACAGTCGCGGGACGCTCACAAGAAGACCCAAGGAATCCGGTCTGGAGGGCCCCGTCGCAAACATCACGCCGACACCAAGCACCGTCAAGACACGAACACCAACAATGACCTCGGACATGGACCGGCTTCGCGAGAAAATCAAGATAACGAGGAACTACAGAACGGGGAAGGGGGTACCCAGACCCTGTCCCTACCCCAACTTCCGCGATTGCATTCTTCATCCAACACGTGTGTGTAAAAAACGAAGCATCCTGCGAGAAGGCTACTATCGGTACCGTGGAACCCCACGCACCTTACGGATGTCGAACTCCGCGTTAGACAGTAGCTGGATGAGCGGGGGGATAATGTTCGCGTCGATGACGGCCTGGATCTGCTCCTTGTTCCCGGCGGTGATGTTGGAGATGGTCCAACAAGCCTCCTTGCGGATGCCCTTCTTAGACGAGCTCAGCAGGTTCAGCAGCCACGGCAACGCGTTGAAGTTGATGATGACCTGGTTCGGCGGCGAAGGTGGGTACGAGGGAGGGACATGCAAGTCGGTGACGAGACGAGCAGTTGGAACGGAACGAGTCGGTCGAAGATGTTCCTGCATGTCCTATAAAGTTCATTTACGCCATTGGGTGTAGGTGGTTAGAACCCAATGGCTCCTAGAGCAGTCGGGGCCCACGCATTGTAGGTTGTCGATAGTGCTGCCGATTGCCCCCGCACGCGTCTCCCCTCAACCTCTGTTCGAAACACCAGCACCATCTCAGAAGCATGTTCATAGCATACAGGTAGTTCACAACAACAGTAGCAACCGATGTCACGCACATGATAGTTTCGGAGCACAAAACCATAATACCGTAATCAGCGTAAGTGACACGGCGCACGAAACTCGACACAAACACTCAGGTCTTGGACGTTTTGCAGAACAAAAACTATAACAGAATTTTCAGCAAAAGTAACATGGCGCGCCAAATACTTCGACACAAATATCACGTCTAGGAAATATAAATTTCTCAGCGCAAAACACATATAAAATGCCGTCTTCAGCAAAAGTGACATGGCGCACCATACTCGGTCATAAAATCAGGTATCCGCAAAAACAACGACTGATAAATTTTGTAGTTGAATGTACCCTGATCTCACCTGTGTCTGAAGGTCATCGCCCGTAACGATGTTACCGACGGTCCGCAGCGCGGGGGTCTGTACGGCGGGGGAAGTGTGGATGAGCAGCTCGACCAGGCGCTGGCAGACGCCGGCCTCAATTACGGCCTGGATCTTGTCGTTCTGGCCGTCCGAAAGGTAGCTCAGGGCCCAGCACGCGTCCGTCAGGACCTGGTCGCCCACAAGAAGCAGCAGCAGCAGCAGCGGCGGCAGCAGCGGCACGAGGATGTGGGCGTTCAAAGGAGAGCGGGTTGAGGCTGAGGGTAGCGGCGGGTGCAAGAAAGAACGACGGCGCAATTAACATCAGCGACCAAATCCACATTTGTGATTTTGTTCTGTTCCGTTCTCACGGCGGATTTCTCCCCCCTCTCTTGCACAAGCGCTGCGCTACTTGTCCCGTTATTGCCTCTCTTGGTCATGAAATCAGACACGGGAGCCAACTTCAGACGAGGCCGTCCACGAACTTGGAAATATCTTGGTACAGTAATCGTGGGCAAAGGGCAAAGTGTCCAAGTGTCCGACGTAGACACTTGCCACTCTCGGCCTGTCAAAACTGCCACCCGGACGCCACGACAAATGCAGCTTGCTGCTGTATGTACCCTCCAAGACCACAAAATGCTTCGTCGACGGTCGCCTCTTTACATGTACAACAAAATTTACGACGCTCAGAAGAACAGGGCGGACGTCTATATACTACTGGCAGATAATTTACTCTTCTTAGTTATTGGTTTTAGGGAGGGCGCATATGTACCGTAAACAAATCGAACCCCCGGCGACAAAAAAAAGTCCGCGCGTTGGCGCTCTGCACACCTCCTCGTCGACCGAGTGGATGAGCTGTGCCAAGGTGGGCAAAGCCGGGCGGACGTGCTCGAAGCTGGGCTGCGGCTTGCCGCGGCAGAAGTTCGACAGCGTCCAGGTCGCGTTACGAAGCATCGACAACTTAGATCGGTCCGTCAGCTGCTGGAGAAGGGGACCCATCGCGCCTTGCTGGAGAACCAGGTCGCGACACACGGGGGAGTCTCCCGCGATGTTGCCCAGCGCCCACACCTGTTCACACCACACGAAGGCCGGGGGGGGAGGGGGGGGGGGTACTCATGTAAACGCTGCTGTAGTCGTTAGACCTTGACGTCGCATGCCGCGGGGGATAGGAAACAGTGCAGCGATTGTTGGGTCATCGATGGCGGAGGAGAAGAGGCATAAGCAAGCATTCGAGAGGGGAGGGCATGTGGAGTGTCGTGAGGTAACAGAGGACAGAGGGCAGGTCGTTCTTTCTTGTTCGTGTGGTTCTGCCCATGACTAAAAAAAACGACATGGAAAAATATATCTCGGGTGCTTTTTATTGCAGCAAAATCGGCGAAGCGAGCGAAGACAGCCCCGACAGCCCAACGCCCGATACGGTGAAATCAGCCTAAAGTTGCGGGTGGTGCGAGCCTCCCGTGAGCCGACAAAATACAAACACCAACGCCGTGATGTAGCAAGGTTGCGCAGCAGATGTCTTGGTATTTTCCATCGCCTTCTTGGTGCCGGCTTGAGCCTACGTACGGACGCGCCTTTTCCGAAAAATGGTGGCACCACGCATTGAGGGAGGGATAAGGTGCTTTAATATTTGACACTATCGCTGCTGCTGGAGACCGTTGATGGTGCGGTACATGCGGGACTCGCAGCAAACCATCAAATCAACAACACGCAAGGACAAAAAGACAACACAGCGGCATCGTATCCATACGAGACGCACCGCCTGCTCGCGAACATCATCATTGGGGCTCATCAGCAGGCGCACGAATATCGGCACGGCTCCCTTCTCGATGACCACGCGGGTGTGGTCGCTTGTGCCGCTGGCAATGTTGGTCAGCGCCCAGGCGGACTCGAACTGCAGAGCCGGGTTGTCATCTCGCTGGAGGAACTCCACGAACTTCGGCACCACGCCGGCGTCAATCACGTTTTGGATCGGCGGGTTGCGCTCTGCGAACGGTGTCGATGGTCAAAACATCATCGGCGGCAAGAGGGAGAAAAGGCGTCAGCACAAGCTTTCAAGAGACCACCAACGCTAACTGCAAACCCACGACTGGTCAGTCGACATCTACAAGCCCATCACTTGTTGGTCGCCAGAGCGTTGTATCTGCCGCGAGCTCTTCTATCCCCGAGAACGCCGTTACCAGCAACTCGGCTCGTCCGACGCAAACGTTGGTACGTAGTAGCGGCATCCCTTTTTGCTCAACGAGTCGATGTTCGATCGTGTAAACGAGGTGAGCCTCAGCGCACCACTTAAAAACCAGCAGGTCGTGCACCGAAAAGCCGGGTGCGCAAGCGGCGAGAACACAGACACAGACACACGCACCTATCGAAAGGATCTTCCGGAACGCCGTAGTCGTGTCTAGCTGAACGGACGGGTCCAGGCTCTGCACTCCGATCACGAGTTGAGGCAATTGGTCGAGCTGAAACTCACGCGGCAAGGGGGGCCAACAGATGGCACGAGGGCGGGTATGAAGTAAGGGGGAAGAGATCGGGGTAATGCTCGAATCGCACATGGAGTATGGGGGTAGAAGGACTACGGTGGGGATTGGGAGAGTGAAAACAAGTCACGCCTCCGAAACGCTCCCCAAACTGCTGTCATTTCCACCAGCGCGTGTAGCGGTACGTGGCCCACGTGTTCATCTGGATGTGATCCCCCTCGGCGACAGCGGTAGTAAGACGGTTGGCGTTTGCATGGAAACCTACCCAGTGTGTTCGGCGCCCACCAAATCGCCACCAATAGGCGCCAGCAAGGCTTACCATGTATCACGCCTGCAGAGAGTTCAGAACCTACCGGGCCGCTATACAAACCAAAACCGTCGTCCGAAAGAGATAAACCCGTGAGTCCAGAAAAATTAGCGAGGATTCACGCACAACGGGACGAAGCGTCAAGACGAAATCGACACAGGGAGGAAGACAAGACTTACTTTTACTCAAGTCGCGACCAACAAAGAGACAAGCAGCAGGTTGTGCTCACGAAAACCAACACACGGAAAGGCAGTAGGCACATACTATCCGACACACAAAAAAACCTACCCGCATGTGGGCCGGGGTGTCGACGGCGTTGGTCCCCGCCGCCGGCGCGCCACCTTCGGGGATGGTGGCGAAAGAGAAAGCTCCCAGCGTGTCCCCCGCGGCGCCCTTGCGTCTCCGCTGGTTGAGGCGCTCCTCCTTCTTTTCTTTGCGGATCTGGACCTGTGTCTCGCTGCGGCCGCGGCGGGCTTCATCCCTACCTACGCCGGCCTTAAACAGCTTCGCGCGCTGCAGGTAGAGGGGAAGGCCGTCGTAACATTACCATCGTTTAGTAAGTCAGCCGCATGTCCATAGCTGTGTGGCACTACAGCTTGATACAGGGGTATGCATGTCGTAGGAACATTTTATTCTTTTCGCCGAGTTGTTGACGTTTGAGGTACTGTATTGCAACTGCCTTGATCCAAACTACTGCTGTGTGCAAACATGCGAACTACTTGAACTTCCGCAAACCCAAAGCTTTGAAGGCGTAGATATGCAATAAAATTGAGACGTATGCATACGTGTATTCACACGACTTTGCACAATGACATCACTCGCACCACAGACAACAGTAGTGGCTATTGCTATCGACGTTTTGCGGAGGACAGGTGACGTCAAGGGTTGCACTTGGACAAGGAGGGGGGGGCAAAGCATTTTCCTCCCTCGCTGTTTCGTAGTCTATTGCGTGTGTACGTGTTTTTTCCTATTTAATAAGTTTGACGAGAGGGGCGCCGAAGAGGGGGGATGACATCCGGGAGCACCAACAAAGTGTCAGTGTTGCGGGGCTGTAGCGACGGGAATGCGCAATACTTGTTGTAATGTCGTTGATTATCGTATCTACCCTCCTAAAAGAAGGCTGGCATGTTGATTTATTTTGCAGAGTTGGTATGGTATCACGGCCAAAAAAAAAGCTAATGACAGCAGCGGCTCCGTGATGACAGCATCGGCTCCGTGTGCGTCAATGAACAGCAAATCGAGAGCCCCGCCGCAGGGACTTCCGCCACGAGATTGTTTTTTTCCGACTGACAAACACGAACGAATAATTCATCTCTACCTCCCACAGATGAAAGATTCCGGGACAAACTACAGATGAATTCACAGCGTTCAACGACCAACCTGTGTTCCTACTGCTGTTCCCCATACAGCCATATTTCCCTTATGAGTGACAGGCTTCAACGAAGACAGCAGTAGTCTCGGTGGCCATTCTTGTGTGGTATCTGACTGACTTTTGAAACTGTTCGCAAAAAAACACAAGGGGAATGGCGTGTGTTGTACGTCGCACGAGAGAGGCAGACGCGACTGATCCACCTTCACCAACCAAAATAAACGGATCGCTCCTGGATGTCTCTGCGCTGTACCACAAGGCGACAGCAGTTCAAGGGTCTGAGTTCAGGAGGGAACGTGATCCCTCCGTCATGCCCGTGCCGGGCAAACCGGAAGGCAATCGCTCTCTTCGCTCCTCCATGGGTCGATTCTGCTGTCTTTGTTTGGCGGTGGTACAAAAAATTTGAAAGGGTAAAACAAGCGCGAAAAACTCCAAATCAGAAATCAAAACTAACGGGGGCAAGCACACGGCACACCCTCCCACGATAGCGACAGGTTGTGAGGCCGTTCTCACCCCCCTCTACGCAAGGATGGTGCCGTGATGAATGTCCCGCGGGTTCGCACGTGGCGGTCAACAAGATGCGGCAACGCACAGAGCCCTTGACCAAAAAGGCATGGCCGAGAGAGGGTAGGAACAAACTCAAAGGGACCCAAGACACGAACCCTCCGTAGCGCCTGACGGGCGAAGCCGCTACCCCGATCAAGGTAGCCACATGCATGGCACCAGCGATCCGCTCGACCGGCCGTGAACCCGGCATGATGTGAGGGGGCTATGTGGAAGCACACGCGACATGATGATGTCGGATCAAAAGAGGCGACCCCTCTCTCACCTCCGCCTCCTTGTCCTTCCCCATGTAGCTCGCCATCGCGGTGACGAGATTTTTCGATATCTACGGCGTAGGGACGAAGAGAGCGCAGCACGCGCACGGGATCACCAGAAGATCGAAACCAACAGGGCACGGGAGTAGATAGGATGCCTGGCGACAGCTCCTTTCACACCTCGACCAGTTTTGTTTTGTTCGGCGCTGTTTCATTTACCCCCGTCGGGGAGGAGGCTTTTCCCATCTCGGAAGGCAGAAAGGGGACAGGGGACACGTTCTAGTTTGCGGGCTTGTTGTCTGCCAAATGTCTTCTTGTGTCTGAGTTGGTCAGCGAGCGGTATGCAATGAGCCGCCAGCGCTGAAACATCAAAGTACCCCGTGTGCGATTGGTTGGGGTGGGTGTCATGAGCAGTGATTGCTGGCACCATTCTAAGAAGGTCAAGGCAGAACTCATCACTCGGCTGCTGTCGGAGGAGCATCATTAACCACAAACGCTGGGGGCGTGAGAGGCCCGCATGTTTTGTTTTTTTTTCATGTTTTTTGGAGGAGTTTTGACCAACAAACAAACCTCGGCTTCACGGCACACAAAGCCGCCATCAGATTAGATGTACATGCAGTCTAGTGCGTTTCGTCATGGTACGCGAACCATGAATAAGTAAAAGGATATATATCCACAAATTGCATGTCTGTTTGGGAACGGTATTATCTTATCTCGAATAATATATAGCGGTAGTCTTTTTGTGTGGTTGTCATGTGCATGGTCTGAATATATATGCAAAGACAACAGCGCGGAGGGCCACAACGAGCACAACTTCTTGTTGTAGACTAGTCCACAGACGCACCCAAGAAACGCAAACAATCAAGATTGTCCACGGTGTCTGGGTTGATTGCATACCATGCATCACAATGAAATGAGGTGAGGCCCGCATGAAAGTCTCGAGTTGTCTCGAGAGAAGATTTCAATGCGTCCGTCCATGCATAGACAACGAGGCCGTTCAATTGACGACTCGGGGTTTGCCCTGCCACGTGAGAATCCATGACACAACCGCCATGGCCTCGCCCAAATCCCACCAATGCATGCGAGACACTGCTTACGCCTCACCACGCACAGACAGAAGGCACCACCAGGAGCCGGTTAGTATACAGACCCATGTACCCTTGCGTGTAGAGGTCAACCGAGGCACAATACTCGCTTGGGGCGTATCCAAAGCATACTACTGCTGTGTAGAGCAATCGTAACGAACCGAGATGGGTGGAAAGACGAAGCTAGTCCGCCCGTGAGTAAGCATCGAAACAGACCGAGGTGAGTGGGAAAACGAGCTAGTCCGCCCGTGCGAAAGAGCGCAAGCCAACAACTCGTCTCAAAGTTGTTCCGCATTCCATTCACTTTGTGGCGCCAAACACCATGAAGGAGATGTTACTTCAACTGACTAAGCCAAGCGGACCCACCATGCCAGCAGAAAAAGTCCTTCAAAAAACAAAAAAACATCATCCCTAACCTCACAACTCAGAAACCTATCAAAATTGTTGAACCTAACGGCGCCAGACACATCGAGCTAGCTCTAGGAATGAACGCTCGAACAGAGGTATTATACAGATCCACAAAAACCGTAAGGCCTCTCATCCGAGACAAAATGCTCAAGTCGACATGAGCAAGGGCAGCTAATGCTGTCTTCTCCCTCATGCCTCGAGGGCCTTGAGGGCCTCCTTGCTGTGGGCGGCGCCGTCGAGGAGGTTGTCGTACATGCTGGTTACGACACCGTTCTTGTCCAGGACGTACGTGACGCGGCCGTCGATGGTGCCGAACACCGCGCCCTTCACCTTCCACGCCTTGCGCACCTGATTTCGCCAAGTTCCGGTCAAGCAAGACAAAAAGGGACAACCAACAAAAGGGCTCGGTTGGGGGGACGGTGCAACCTATCGACAAAGAGGGCCCATCAGCGGCCAGGCGCAAGTGACGAGGTACGCGGGTTCGGGGCGTAAAGATGGTCTGGAGAGAGGGGAAAAAATCCACACGTTGCAAAAGGCAAAAAGTTTCCCTCCGAGTCTGGCTTGTAAGGTGTATTCGAAATTGGATTGGGCTGCTGTCACTCGTTCTTGTTCATGGCGCTAACCAAGCGGCCGCTAGATGGAGACTTCCCCGTGCATCCAATAGGCGAGAAGGTTTCCGTCGCTGTCGGCGGAAAGAAACGACGAAATGACCAAGTGATTAGAATTGCTTGCTGCCAATAGCGGTGAGATAGTGATAAGACGCGAACTGGGATCAGCATCTACAGGTGTGCGGTTATCATTGATAGTCTACAAGAGGGACCCGAGTAGGACGTGCCATCTACGGTAGCGAGGAGCAAAGTGATCAACTTTCACAGATTGATGTCTTTGCAACGTCAAGGATGCCACGAGATGTGTACAAGATTTAACCAGCACCAACCGAGTCAAATTGTTACTTGCTTCACTGCAAACAGACGGGGTCAAATGAACGTGCAGCACGGGTGACACCTACGCAACACAGATCCCACCCAACACAGGCCTGTGTGACAAAAACAATGCCTCACGGAAGGTCCCTACCTTGCCGCCGATGTCGCTCAACAGAGTCATGCTCAAGTTGTTCTCCTTCACGAACTCGGTGTGGTCAGCGTCGCTGCTGATTCCGATCACTTCCGCGCCGGCCTTCTTGAACTTTGCGAGGTCGCTCTGGAAAGTCTGGGCCTCTTTCGTGCAGCCTGGCGTGCTGTCCTTGGGGTAAAAGAACACCTGGCCGGCAGTGACAAGAAATATCGTTTGGGGCGTACAAGATTCAGAAGCCGTTACACGTCTACGGGGGACCTGGGGGGTGTATGACGGTGTGGCGGAAGCCCCAGAAGGGTTGTAAGTTTTGTCTCGATCATCGATAAAGGTCTTGAGTTGACCTTATTCCTCTTGCGGTCTCTGGTGAGCCTGCTAAATACAAACACGACATTGACACCGTTAGGCCTTTCGGGACCGACCTTGTGTACTGAAAATCGTTTTGGATGACCGTTCTATAGCTGCAGTCGATCGATCGATCGATCGCTGTCTGACGCCATCGGCCACAAAAAGATCTTGTCCAACCGAGCTCCAACGGCCGTTTGAACTGTTCACTGGTTGCGCCTTACCACCGACTAGGACTTTCGGCGATTTCCCTTGACAGACTGAAGCAGCAACAACGACAGCGCTATTCCCCCCCACGCCGTGTCTTGTGCGTGGTAGGAAATAGGGACCCCGAAGCGATAGGAGGCTCGGGAGTTGAGTTGGCAAGGGTCAACACGCTGTTAAAAAAAACAACCGAGGAAATTGTTTTCTGCAATGCCGCCAGCTTGTTTTGTCGGCGATCCCTCTTCACAGGTGAAAGCAGCGGTAATGCCAAAGCTGTGGCTGTGGCGCGTTTTGGGTGCTTGTCAATAGAGATCACGAGGGGTGAGGACGCTCGCAAATCGAGTCGACGAGCGTCGACAACAACGAAAAAAGGCCTGCCACCGACGAGGCCAGCTTTTTAATACCGCGTCACTTGGTGTCACCTGTTTTTGTTTTTCGATGGCCCCTCTCTGAAGGCCAAGCAACCTCTATCCTCCCACAGCGAGGTTCAGATGGCTCGGGTGGTGATTAGGAGAAATCGGCAGGCTGCGCACTAGAGCAGGGCATCTACGAGATTTTTGCGACGATACAAGTATACTTCCTATCTGGCACCACCCATGAACTTTAACGTGTTGGCTAATTCCTTAATAATTGCGGCCCTACAACCACTCCCTGCGCCTCTTCTGAGGAACTCAAAAGCTCTTCACTTTTAGCCACAACGCTGCGGCGTCGAGCTGTCCCCCTACACAGCGTGCTGTGCCTGAGGCCGGCGTTCCGCACGGTGACAAAACTTATTCTCCTCCGAGAGACCGATTGCGGAGCTGGAATCGCAACAAACTGAGTCTTTTGGGGGCTTTCGCGAGAGCCACGGCCTCAGCCGCGGCCAGCTCCGCCCCAGTCAGCTACATTTGTGGTCTCTGCTGTTCCGGGGTATGGACGAGGACCTCTTCCTTGGATTTCTTCGCCTCTGTACATGCCTGAAACTCGTCTGCCACCACGCCTAGATATAAGCGTGTCTCTCTCTCGTCGTCGTCGTGTTGAGAACGCGCCGTTGACCCCAACCCTAGGAAGTGAAATATGGCGAAGTGCCTGGGATGGGTGAGGTCACCGTGTGCGGGGCACTCAAAAGAGGTACCGTGCCGATGCAAGTACCCCGCACACGGTGGCCTCGTCCACATCAGCCATATCGCCATATTTCCCTTCCAGGTGTTGGGGTCGCCGGCGCGTTCTCAACACGACGACGACGAGGAGCAAGACACCCAGTCGCAGGCGGAGTCCAGTGTGCATCCCGGCAGCAAACGGACTACATAGAAACGGGAGGGGACCCGGGATTACAGAGACTGCGATGCCAGCTGCCCGAGGCTCAGCTGACAGCGGCTAAGGCCGTGGATCTCGTTACAATTCCAGCTACTCTCGGAGGAGAATGAGTTTGTCGCCGTGCTGGACGCCGGCCTCAAACACAGCACGCTAGCTAGGCGGATAGCTCGACGCTGCAGCCTTGAGGCTAAGCGGAAAGCTTACGAGTTCCTCAAAAGAGGAACAGGAATTGGATACGGTGGCAATTCTTTAGGAACTAACACACATGTCGAAATTCATCGGCGGTGCCAGAAATAGGAGTTTTGGTAGATAATCCACCAACGGCGGACTGCTCATTGCTCACCACCACTTTCTTCTTGTTCTTGAAGCTGCTTAGCGCCACCGGCTTCCCGTTCTGGTTGTTGAGCTTGAAGTCTGGCGCCGCTTGGCCGACGGAAACCATCCGCAAAGCCGTGGAGCTAACCCTCTGACAATAGTTGGCATGACACAAAAGAGTGCAAGGATATAAACAAGTTCCGCAACCAAAATTTACATGTACGACTACAGCATAGACCATGCATATCACATTTTCGTACTGCACAAGGCACACGACCAGACTAGACTACAGCAGTATACCAACGAAGGGAGAGCTACATATTACAGCAGTAGATTCTGGGTGGAGAGTGCTGAACCACAAAGTGAACATACACACATACGACGGAGTCGCACAACATGAAATCATTGCGGAAGGCATGGGACAGACAAGGCCATGTCTGGAAGCGCCCCCCCCTATTTTGATTTTGCCCGCTCACTACTGCTGCTGTACACATGAACACGCAGGTCCGCCTCGATGGGCGAACGGCCAGGGGACGACACGTCACCAGTGCTGCAAACATGTGCAATACTTGGATTTTCAGCCGGCCACCACACTGCTGTCCATGCAAAGCGCACCCCGTAATGGCCAAGGATACAAGACGAGTCCGCACTGGTTGGCCTTGTGCAGGAGTCCATATCCCGTGCCCCAGACCTGGACACACCTGTGCTGATCCCGAAGTTTGGAGGGCGGAGCGGCCCAGAGCTGCGGGAACAAATCCGTTCGCCTGACCCACGAACGCCAGAGCCGCGCAAGCCGTCTTCATTCCGAACATCGTTTGTGGATAGAGTCGTGATGAATTTTGTGAGTGCTTGGGGTGCCTTGCGATCGTCGATGGCGTTGTTGCTTGTGTGTGCGTACACGGCTTAGCTGGGAGTGTGGATGATTTCGAAAGCACACGCGCACAAACGCACGTTCCCGAAAATCGAGTCAGCGAAAGTGGACCAACCAATTTCACCCCGCACCGGACATGCCTACTTCATTTTTGGTATTTGGGAATTGCCCCGCACAAGTTTTGAGCGGTGTAGCGGTGTACACATGTGGCAACGTGTGGATCTGCACAGCTATTGTAGCCCACAAGCATAAACCTCCTTGCATCTCTTGATTCTAGGCTGCTAAACACTTCCTCACAATCGCTCTGCCTCGCATGTTTCTCATATGCGACATAACTAACGCCTCCAGAACCAAATTGAACTCCCCGCGCGCGCGCACGACACCCGAAACGTTGTCGGCTGCCGCTGCTGTGCTGCTGTTGCATGCCGGTCAAAGCACACAAGGGACTCGCTTCCACACACGTACTACGATGCTTCGCGTTGTCACATTCGCTGCGGTGGTGGGGTGTTCCAATGGTTTCGTCGCACCGAACGCCGTCCGGGCAGGGAGCAACCCGACTCTCGAGGTCAGTCCGCTTTCTCCCCGACACAACAAACGCACGCGCGTCCTTACCCTTATCTGCGTCGTAGTCATGATTGGGTACATGTTTGTTGTCTCTGGCTGTACTCTGGTACGTGCTTAGACTCTCCACCGTGTACGCTACAGAGTGGTTGTTTCAGGAGCGCTTTGTCACGAGGGCCTTTTGAAAACATGAGTGGTCATGCACATAGAGATCATGCACAACCCTTTCTTGTCTCGTCCTCTATCAGACCCCAGCGGCGCGCCGAAGGCAGCAAGCAGTATACGTGAAACAGGTTGCTTACAGCGGACTTTATTCTGGTACAGCAGTGTTGAACTCTCACGCACTTGCACCGCTAGTCTGCTACCGACATAACTTCTACAAATGTCGATTTATTGTAGTATTGCACTGGACTTTGGTCTTCACCCTCCGGCCCTTCGTTCCTGTCCTTTTCATCGTCGGCGGATCTCTCTCCCTGTATACGGATAAACAGAAAGGCAGGAGGATGGGAGATAGAGAAAAATGCGAGTAGACGGCGGGCATGGCACACAGCGGTAACGGCACTGAGTGCCTGATCGCGTCGACGTTGTTGAGTATATGAGGCTAATCCTCCTAACCAAAGTTAGTGAGCTTTTGGTGTACAAGATAGACGGCCCCTTCTACCCTAGCGTCGGGAGCTTTCTGTTGTTGTTGTTGTTGTCTCTACTTTAAAAAACCGTTCCGGTCTCCGCTCAGTACCTTCTCATGTCCGTATACTACGGTCCAACTGGCGCGGACTCCTTCCGTGGTCACAAGCCAGCTACCCCCAAAAAGGGGGCAGCTTTTTTGTTGGAGTTCGAATTCTAGACCTCCTCTCTCTCTGTGTCCGGTGACCTCACACATCTGACGGAGTGTGTGCACACAGCCCAGCTGGTGCGTTCACGGGATCTGACCCACGCGCCGGGGGAAATGCTCGGGATTCTCGACACCCGTCGTCACTCGTTGCACCCTTCCGAAGCGTTGCCTGCTGTGTTTTGGCACGATTTCAAGTGCAATGGGGCATGCTCTCAACCCTAACCCTAACCCTAACCCTAAGTCACACCTCCAAGCGACAGGAATGATTGGGTGTCAATTCGATGTGTTCAGTGCTCACATCCCTCTAAGCCCTTCGTATCGGAACTGGCCTTGCATATATAGTTCCTCCTCTCTGTGTATAGGGCCGATCTTAACATTGACCTCCATCTGGACGTCCGTACTGTTTGGAACCTCTGCTTTCCGCTACACATTCTCCCCCAAGCGGCACACCGTACGGATGTCAGCGGAAGGACCGTCGGACAGGGCGCAGTTCCTGACGACTTCTGCTGCCGTGGCTGCTTCTGCCGTGATGCTGCCGTTGGTGGCCGTGGCGGATGAGGGGGAGGCAAGAGCGGTTTCAACACTCGTCTTGTTTTTTATCCAGCATCGGCCGCGCTATCCGGCTGACCAATGAAGAGACGTTATGTTTTGTAGCGGGATAACAAACTTGTGTTCTTTCTTATTAGCATCGACGGCGCTGACCGGCTGACCAATGAAACCCGTAAGTCTCAGTGCGGTGTAAAACACGAAGTGCTTCTATAGGCCACTGGGACCCTGTGACCGATTGTCATGGGGGGGTCAACTTGCGTGTGTGCGTGTGTATGCACTGTTGTGGTTGGTTGTGTGCTTGCTTTTTTGAACAGGGTTTTGGTGGAGTTTAGAGCCACACTTGTCTCGCTGTTCGCGTTTTTTTTCTCCTTTCCGCCCATGGGAAGCAGACCGGATCGAAACAGGTGAAGCTCGTGACTACCAAGCTCGGCGGGAAGCTCGAACCTTTCGCGGACGTCTCCAAGGGCTACCGCCTGGCGAAGCCACTGGGATGGAACCGTTACGACGGGACTTCGGGGGAGTACACAGTCAAGATGGTGGACCTCGTTGACCCCACCACACTTATCTTGCTCACCAACTCGCCGGTCAAATCCGACACCGAGGTGGGGAGAGTGTTAGATTTCGAAGATGCCGTCCGTTCCTGCGTGTCAGTTAGATGTGGACCAGGCTATGTAGTTCTAGACCTCCACCTAACTGATCATGCTCAAAAGGAGAGAACCACTGCAACCCTAAGGTTTCTGTGACGCTCGGGCCGCGCGTTACAAGGGCAAACTGCGGTGCAATGTTTCCCCGAAGCATGCATGTAGTCTATCCTCTTTGGTCAGCACTGCGCGATTGCGTCGAAGTGGTGCTATGTAGTCTATGTACGAGGTTACTAGTAGATGAGTCAACGCAATCGCCAAACTCCAGGTATTGGTCTCTAGGTTTTGGTGGAAGGCCGAGCCTAGAGGTCATTTTGTGCGTCCGCGCCTCCGATGGCTGGATTTAACCCCTGTCGGCGACGATCGGATCACGCCCTGCCGGTCGACCTAACGACCACAAGGAAGCGAGCTCTCCAAACCTACAACCAAAGCGATAGACCCTCTCTATGCCCCGAAGCCCACTCTCAACCATGCACGCTATGAATCCATCACAGCCTGCCGTGCGGTAGTGTGCTCTTCGATGCTCATGCTTTTTACCATCCCCGGATGCTCGTGCGCTTTTCTTTCTTTCGATGGTTCCGCCGGCCGTTGTCCGGCAGTTGTCCACGCTAGGATCCGCAACCCAGGTCGGCGAGAAGCTGAGCAAGGGGAGGGACATGGAGTTGGTCAGCGCAAGGGATCGGGTCACAGAAGGCATCCGACTCTACGTGAGGATTTGTTGCCGCACGTCCTAGCCTGCTGCTATGGCTCTCTGTGCCCCCCTGTGCTCTCGCGAGTTGTTACCTCTCCTTTGTGGGTGACACCCGCAGTTTGTTTCGAGGCTAGTGATGATTTCCCCTCGGTAGACGACGTGTACATTCGACCTGGAACTATTCCTTGGAACTATTCCATGTACAGCTCGCGTCCTACGTTTTCGACCTACACATGTACTGGTACGAAGCTTTTTCTTGTGTCGTAGATGACACTTTGGGAAGTGCCTCCGAATAGATTGCCGCAAAGCGTGGGTGTTGAGGAGACGCCATTGCTGTTTGTGGAGCTAGAGCACGCAACCATGCCTGATTTTACAAGTGCCCCGGTTGATGTTGTTCTGTTGTTTCGGCTTTCACACAAAGAGAAGCGGTCGCGCGAGCACAGAATCCGGGTGAAAATTCCTCAGAAGTTCCCCGCCCCCCCCGACTTGGCGGCATTCATAATGCGCCTGCTGCTGCTGGCATGATGCTGTTTTTCCAGGAGTCTAGTGTTGTATATGGATGCTGGAAGTTCCCGGAAGATTTCCGCCAACCATTGCTTTGACCAAGTTGTAACGTAGCTTCAACAATACAGGATATGCAGATGTTTTTGTGCTTAGCACCAGCTGGTACCATTCAGTGTATTGGCTAAACAGACTCAAGAAGACGCCCTGTTGCCAGCCGGTTTCCCTCCACTCACTTCAAAGGCTTCAGCACCCCCCTTTCGTCTGTGTTTATATATCGAACGGGGAACCTGACATGCATATATCCGCTGTGCTGCATCTTGGTGGGCCCGCAGGACTTCGAGTTCAAGGGAGGGGGGCGCCGCGAGCTCAAGACCCTCTCGGTGAACAAGAACAAGCTGTGGAACCTTACCCTGGGGTGCCCAGAAAAGGCCTGGGAGAAGCAAGAGGAGCCCTTCAAGACGATCGTCGATTCCTTCTTGCCTCGGCTGTGACGAGGAGGAGGATTAATGGTTGCAGCGGGTACATAGTCGCCACGTCGTCTGCTGTGGCAGGCACACTCCGGCGCTGGGGGCGCTAGAACGCCGGCGGCAATAGAGAACGAGGCACAGATACTTTTACCCGAAATAGATCGGGAAGAGAGCTTGGGGACTATCCTCAGGGCCATAGATAGGAGGGGGCCGGCGGATTGTACCTTTGTGAGCGCGGAGGTCATGCTGCTGTCGCGCGAACGTTTTTTTCTTTGTCAGGGCTCGTTTTGTGGCGAGCAGGCTTTCATTTGTGAACCAAATGGTTCAGAACTTAACAATAATCACAAGAGCTCACGGCGGTGGCTTGGGCGATCGATGGCCTCGGCGAGACACCCAATGCGTCCTGCGCCAAGCTCGCCGATCTGGTAGTTGGATTTGTAGATGCGGACTATACCACAACCTGGACGGCGCCGGCAACTAACTGCCTATTTTTGTGGCAATCCACTTTTTTTTTCTACTTCGATGTTGTCGAAAGTTCAAGGAGGGAGGCGCGGTATCACCGGTCATCATAAATAAACGCCGTCTCGACAGAGCTGAAGGGAAGAAGAAGTTTATTGTGTATCCGCAGTCGGATTCACTCGTTGATGGTGTCGGCAACGGCTGCTTTTTTTGTGACAAGGCGCTTTGTTTTTATACAATGTTGAAGAGAATATCGCGCAGCTTACGGCGTTGCTTGCTGCTTTGTTGTGTTGACTGCGGAAGCATGAGCACCGTCATTTGAGGTCCAATGCAGGCATGTTTTGCTGTGTAAGGTTTTCTTGTGTTTGGCCGACTACAGCAGACCTTTGTCAATTCCTATTTTGCGGACACAGAGTCTAAATACGTTGTTCCCTTCAGCGCTGTCGAGACAGCGTTTCATTTTCTTGTGTTGTACGGTGATGACCGGTGACACTCGCCTTCCTCTTTGCCTGTTTGGTGTTGAGAAGCACGATGACCACTGGACCAGCCACTAGATCGACTAAATACTTCAAGTAGTTTAGTTTAGTCACTGGCTAAACTAGAGTGGTCTATCTACTGTAGTGGTCATCGTGCTTCTCAACATTTGGCATCGCTGACACAGGCGAGACCTACGCTGCATACATGCACCCAATCCCAATTACAGTGGAATCTTGCCGGCCCACATTGACAAGACTTTTTACAACGAACGGTTGACCTTTGGAGATACATAAAAGGCTAATCTTGAGCTTAGTGTACGTAGCGCCGGCGGCTCAGCTCAACCCTTGCAGCATCTGTCTTGTTTTTGCAAAAATCTAAGCCTCGGTTTCTTGATTCTTGTGAGTAGGCCGGCACACTCTGCGTCCTTATAGTGCAGGTGATTGAGTCGCGTTTCGCGTTGTGCGTGTGAAGCGAAATTTAGGAGGAAGTAGGCGGGGGCAAGGCGGGGGGGGTAGGGGGAGACGCGGAATAATTCTAAGGCGGAGAGAAAGCAAAACTCATCCTCTCCACTACTCACATTTTGTCATATGGTGTGTCTGGCTGTGTGCGGTACACGACTACATACAGCCTTCACGCATACGATACACGCGCGCTAGCCTAACCGTGTGCTCTACAGGAGCTTTACGGATAAATAGGCCTGTGTCGTGCCTGTATTTTGCAATTGGCCTCATTTGCTTTCGGACAGCAGCAGGAAGGGGTGTTTCGCAAGGTGAGTTGTTGCGCCGAAGCGGGTAACGCAAGACAACGCCAGCGTTTGTGTGTGTGTCCACGTTCAATGGGACAACACCGCACATTGAGTGATGCTACTGTCGTAGTAGCCTGTACTGGTCGGCGTACGCGCCTTCCCTAAACTGTGCCATGAGAGCTTACTTCCAGATAGGAAAGGGCCGAGCTGAGGTATTGGTACCTATCTCGCCGCGTCCAATCCGGTCCATGTACATCTGCCTAAATTGTAGCCTAGGGCCTAGGGCGCAGGGGGCGACTGCCTACTTCGACGATGGCGTATAGGGTGGGAGAGTCTCGAGATCCCTGTCCTTCGACTCGTTGCAGTTGCTCCCTGCGATGTTTGATTCTTTCTTCGCACTACCAATTCCGAGATACACCGCAGGTCGTCGGCACAACCGACCGCAGCGTAGCGTAGCAACGTAGCCTCGACTTCTCACTACGATATCATGCATACTCTCGTGCGTAGTGCGTAGGCACATGAGCACCTGTTATTTGCCCGTGATGCCGCCGCGTGAACTGGAGCTTGGTCGTACTGATCGCTCGCTCTCAGTTCGGCGATCTGACTCCTTCCCACGAGCAAAACCTGTAGAGAACGATCATACAATGCACATTCTATTATAGACTAATGTCCTGCTGTGTGTGTACCCTCGGGATGGAAGCAACGATGTTGTACCAACAGCAGTTCGGTAGCTCGCCACCCACGCCGCCCCTTCACAGACACCGATGTGGACACAAAGAAGCACAGCCCAGTTGCAGGATGTTCTGGAGTCATGCTTGTGTGTAAGGATATGTTTGCGGCCGGTCGAGAGTATCAACGCTCTTCCAAACTCTGTAATGTGTATGTACCAGAGTTTTTGCCGAGCTTGGCTTCGGGCATGTCTTACATCATCACGACGTGCACAAGCCTTATTGGTGCTTAGGCACTAATGACGTATTGACTTGTACTTTCCCATACCAGAAATCGAATGTGAGACAGCTGTGTTGCAGTACTGCTGTACATTGACTGCTGTGGGAGGTCAGCAAAACCCGGTCTTTGATTCGGGACTGCGTGTTTTGTAGGTTTTCGACCCCATCAATTTTATCCACTTGATTGTAAAGTGAAGACAACAACAACTCTGGCGCCAGTCTCTACCTTTCGGTACGTGTTTGACGTATCAGCCGATGCTCATGACAAACCAACCATCACTGATCTTGAAGTACGAAGCAGATTTTCTCTCAAGACCGTCTGGAAAGACTTCCAACACTTTCCTTCGATTGGGGCATTTTCTCGAACGAGAGCATGTGCATGCGTATTTTTTTCTACAGTACAGCCTTCGCATGTTTTTTCGATTAAGTTAATATATTGGATAAAGCATGCAAATGGGGGAATTTGGGTTTGGGTTAGGGTTAACGGTAGGGTCTGTGTACCCCCTCTCTATTATTTTTCCTCATAAAATTTATTTCTTGCAAAGGCCGTCTGTGTACCCCCTCCCTATTACTTTTCCTCATGACACTTTTTTTCTCGCGAAGGCGGTCCCATTTTCTCAAACGTTTAACGTTGAAAACCAAGCAGGTAACGGATAGGCAGCCGAAGCAGCACGGGATCCGCGCGCCTGTCTCTCGCCGATGCTTCCCCCACAGCAATTTTCATTTCTTCTCCCTCTTCCTCCGCTTGTTCTGCTCTTCAGCGCTCCTTTTCCCTTGGAGATGGACGCGAGCAGCCTGTTCGGGGGCGGGCCTCCCGGGGGCACCGCCGCCGCTGCTGCCACCTTCGCCCCCAGCAACGCAAGCGATGACGCCCCCCGCTCAGCGGCTTCGCTGTTTGGCGGAGAACCCGAGGACAACCTGGCCAATCCGCCGGGATCAGGCGAAGGCCAGCAAATACAAGGCGTGCCGGACGACCTTTTCGGCGGCGGCGGTGCCGGCTCCGGAGGCTTCGGTACGTCGCCTTCACCGCAGGCTCCTTTTGGTGGGGGCTCCGCAGCTGGTACTTTCGGGGCCCCGCCGCCGGTGCCCGCGGGAGCCGTGCCGGAGGAGTTGTTCGGCGGTAACGGCGGGGGGGGTGCCGTTCCGCAGGAATTGTTCGGCGCTAGCGGTGGAGGGGGTGGTTCCACGTTTGGTTTCGGGGCAGAACACGGGACGAGGAGAACTAGCTCCGAGGTGCACACGAGCCCGCCAGCGACATCGGCGACGCCGAATGCCCTTGGCGGGGTGTTCCCGGGGCGGTCATCACCGCCATCAATGTCGGGGGGCAGCAACCCCACGCCTGCGGGACCCCCGACCGCCTCCTCCAAGCAGGGCGACGGCGGCAGCGGAGGCTTCGGCGCCCCTCCTTCGAACGCGTTGGGCGCGCCGCCCGGCGAGCTGTTGGGCGGACCCCCTCCGCCCCCTTCTCCCGGCCACGACGCTTTCGGGGTCGCATCCTCCGTGCCACGGCCGCCGCCGCCGCCGTCCGACGCGGCAACAAGAAGCAGCAGCCTCGGCTCTTCCCCCCCCCCGCCCCCCCGGGCCCCCGGGGGTCCGCAGAATGATGGGTTTCCGCCAGGTGCTGCTGCGCTCTCGGCGCGCCAGCCGGGGGGGAGTCTTGGTGGCAGCCCTCCTTCCTCCGAGCTTGGCTCGCCTCCCGCTACGATGTTTGGGGCGCCCCCCCCCGGAGTTTTTGGAGCGCCGCCTCCCCCCGCGCCTGCCGAGCTTGGGTCTCCCCCAAGTTCGGTGTTTGACGCGCCATCGTCGGGGGCGTTCGGGCAGCCACCGCCAGGCGGCGGTCGTGGAGCCTTCGGAGCGCCACCTTCAGCGGCGTCGGGCCTTGGCTCTCCGCCATCTTCGGTGTTCGGTGCACCCCCCCAGGTGGGTTTTAGGCGCGCCGCTGTTTGGGCCGAACCGGTGGAATCTTTTGAAAGGCGTGATGGTGTTGTGGTGTTCAACAGAGTTGCGATCGGCGCTGCAGCCAGAGGCGTAGCAGGTTGATCGAACACCCCACGGAGAAAGTACGGCTGTGCGTTCTGGAAATCGTCGACAGTACTGAGTGTCGGGGTATCAAGTGCACTAGCCGTAACGAAGACCGACAGCCGCAGAACGCGTGTATCTTCAGGTCTTGATCATATTTGTTGATGGGGGCTCCGCACACATGTTATGGGCACAGGTGTACACCTTTGCGCGGACACTCAGTCCTGCTGGTGACGCCGGAAGACATGTCTTTTTCGTGTGGGATGCACGACTAATCTGTTACACCCCCTGGCTGCAGCGCCGATCCGAACGTATTGGTTGCAAAGCTCTGTTGCTGCTCTGTGCACACAAAAAACATGACGCGCCTATCGATTTTGGCAAGTGTAAGGGTTCGGATGTAGGTGCTAGCAAACACCTGTGAGGGGTCATGCAGATTTCGTGACAGGAAGCGGTTGTTTGGAATGAGTATCGATGGCAGTGGCACAAGGCTGGTAACCTGGTTCGCTAAACGAAGACATCAGAGGGGCTCCGGAGAATCGTTGTGGTGGCCCTCTCTACAAGTAACTTTTCTCCGTAGGGGATCGACAAATAGAACAAGCTTCTTCCAGAGCAACAACAGCTAGTTTCATTTGTCGCAAAGCCCCCTGGTAAAACGTGTTGTAGTTTCGTCGGGAGTATTCTAACGACACATGTGCGATGCTTGATGCGCTACCGCAGGAAGGGCCGATGCCACCTCGCCCGGGTTCACGGACCGGGAGCCCTCCCACCGCCGTAGCGCTTGGCGTCGCGCCTCGGGACGCGTGCACGGCAGTAGCGCCGCAACCGCATTCTTGGGGCCGGCCAGGCCGCGACAACAAGCCTCCCGCAGCAGCCCCGATGGCTGGATCCCCTCCTTCTGCCGTGTTTGGGGGGGCTCCGCCTGGGTCATCCGTGGGGGGGTCGCCTCCTGCGGCTGGCGGGTCTAGGTCACCACCGCCTTCGATGTTCGGGGCGCCTCCCGGAGAATTGTTTGGAGGGTTACATTCGGCAGGAGTCGCGTCTCCTACCCCCGCGGAATACGGGTCCCCTCCCGCAACGCGTGAACGCGGCCCGCCTACGGCCTCGGTGTTTGATTCGCCGTCACGGCAGGAAGCGTCTGAAGTGCCGCCGCAGCAGCCATCCGGGAGCTTCGGTGGTGGCGTCGGGGTAAAACGCCAAAGCGGGTCTCCTCCGACAACAGCAGACCTCGGCTCGCCTCCGGCCTCAATGTTTGATGCGCCACCGCCGGCGGCCCAGGAAACGCCCGGAGTGCCGCCGCTGCAGCCACCCGGGAGCTTGGGCGGTGTCGGCGCAAGACACCCAAGCGGGTCTCCTCCCACAACGGCAGACCTCGGCTCGCCTCCGGCCTCGATGTTTGATGCGCCACCACCGCCGTCGCAGCAGGAAGCGTCCGGAGTGCCGCCGCAGCAGCCCCCCGGGAGCTTGGGCGGTGTCGGCGCAAGACGCGAAAGCGGGTCTCCTCCGACAACGGCAGACCTCGGCTCACCTCCGGCCTCAATGTTTGATGCGCCACCGCCGGCGGCCCAGGAAGCGTCCGGAGTGCCGCCGCAGCAGCCACCGGGGAGCTTCGGCGGTGTCGGCGCAAGACGCGAAAGCGGGTCTCCTCCCACAACGGCAGACCTCGGCTCACCTCCGGCCTCAATGTTTGATGCGCCACCGCCGGCGGCCCAGGAAGCGTCCGGAGTGCCGCCGCAGCAGCCACCGGGGAGCTTCGGCGGTGTCGGCGCAAGACACCCAAGCGGGTCTCCTCCCACAACGGCAGACCTCGGCTCACCTCCGGCCTCAATGTTTGATGCGCCACCACCGCCGTCGCAGCAGGAAGCGTCCGGAGTGCCGCCGCAGCAGCCCCCCAGAAGCTTCGGCGGTGTCGGCGCAAGACACCAAAGCGGGTCTCCTCCCACAACGGCAGACCTCGGCTCGCCTCCGGCCTCAATGTTTGATGCCCCTCCGCCGTCGCAGCAGGAAGCGTCCGGAGTGCCGCCGCAGCAGCCACCCGGGAGCTTCGGCGGTGTCGGCGCAAGACGCCAAAGCGGGTCTCCTCCCACAACGGCAGACCTCGGCTCGCCTCCGGCCTCAATGTTTGATGCGCCACCGCCGGCGACCCAGGAAGCGTCCGGAGTGCCGCCGCAGAAGCCACCGGGGAGCTTCGGCGGTGTCGGCGCAAGACGCCAAAGCGGATCTCCTCCCACAACGGCTGAACTCGGCTCACCTCCGGCCTCGATGTTTGATGCGCCACCACCGCCGTCGCAGCAGGAAGCGTCCGGAGTGCCGCCACAGCAACCGCCCCGGATCTTGGGCGGCGGCGGTGGCGGCGGGGGCAGTGGCGGCGGCGGCGTAAGACGCCCAAGCACAAGACCGTTCGGCTCCGCCTCGCGCGATATCGGTGACGCTTGGGAAGGTGATTCGTTTGGTGGCGGCGAAGCGGAGGGCGCGGGGGATTCAAGCGCCGCGGACTTGTTCGGTTCGTCGGCGGCGGCGGTAGTGCCCGAGGAAGACATTTTCGGCGCGGCAGCAGGGGGCTCCGCGGAACGGGCTGGTGGGGGGTGGCAGGGGGAGCAGCGACAACACGAGTCTGCTGGAATGGAGGCAACGTCGTTTGGGTCCCCGGCGCAGCAGGGGGACGCGTTTGGAGGGGGGGGCGCATTCGGAGGGAACGGCGAGGAAGACCAGTCGTGGTGGCAGCAAGGCGAGGCCGGAAACGGTGAAACGGCAGCAGTTAGTCCGCCGATGGACACGTCTGCTGGCACCGCCCCAACAACCACGCGGGAAGAGGGAGGCTCCGTCGCCGTGGACTCGTTCGAAGGATTCGGCGGTGCACGCGAGGGGACCCCCGAAGCGTCACCATCTCCCGGCACACCACCGGAAGAAAATAACGAGGAGCCTGGGCAGGCCGATTATTCTTCGCCCCCGGCTTTCCCGCAGGCAAGCGAAGAGGAGGAGGACCTCGGAGCGCCGCCGGCTGACATGTTCGGGCCTCCGCCAACGGCGGTTGCCCACTTCGCTCAACCCGAGGTGAAGGCTCAACAGAAGGGAGGAGGGGCTCCGCCGAATCGGTCTCCGAGGGCCGGCGCTCCTGCGGCGGCGGCGGAAGCGGGGCCGCCGCGGCCACAGTCACGGTATGGCGGCGCCAAGATTGACGTGGGGGACCTTGAAGGGGTTGCGGCGGGGGGACCCGCGGCGGGAGTTGGGATCGAAGCGGGCGCGGCTTCTGGCCCCGGAACGCCGGCGGTAGCCGCGGCGGGTACGTGGGCGGCGAGCCGGGCGGCGTCGCCGGGGTGGGAGAAGCAACCGTCGCCCCCGCTGGAGCTCGGCGTGTTCGGCGAGCCCGCTCCCGCGGAGGCGTTCACGTCCGAGACGACGGCGGCGGCTGCTACGGCGGCGGCCGATCTGTTCGGCGCCTCTGGTGGAGTTGATGCCGCCGTCGGAGAGGGGGGACCAGGCGAGGGTGACGCGGGGTACCAAGGGTGGGGAATGTACGCCGCGGATGCTGCCCCCGGGGGGTCGGACTTGTGCGCTCCCTCCTCCTCCGCGCCTACGGCGCTGCCGCCGCCCCCGCTCGCTACCGGCGCCCCGCCGTCCCCGCGGTCGTCGTTTGTCGCGAATGACGGCCACGGAAGCCTGACCATCGCCGCGTTGGCCTCGGCAAGCGTTCCCCCTTCGACACCGCCGAGGCTCTTCGCGACGCGGTCTTCGTCGTGGGCGGCGCAGGACAAGGCGCAGGCGGAAGGCCACGGCCAAGGTTTCCAGCGAGACCAAGGGGGCGTGTTCGCGAAGAGGGACCACCCGCCGAGCAGTTCCGCTTCGACGGACGGGCCTGAACCAGCTGCCGAGGACAACGACGACCTTTGCCAGGGAGACAGCGGCTCGATGATGGCGTCGACGCCGCCCCCTCTCGGGGCGGTAGAGGCGGCGGCGGCGGCGGCGGAGCTGACTCGGTCTCCCGTAACAAGCCCTCGACCCACCTCTCCAGGAAGCCCTGGAGCTGCCTCCCCGGCAGACCGCCACCGCGGCGGCGGCGGCGGCGGCGCGAAGTCGGCGAGGTACTCGCAAGCCCACCAGCCGCCGTTTTCCACCATCCCGGAAGCGTTGGACGCGCAAGGCCCGCCGAGCTTGCGCGGCGCCCCGGCGGATCATCGTCCCGAGGGCGGGTCAGCGACCAGCCTCGCGCCGAGCGGCAGCACGCGAAGCGGGAGCAACGAGCCGGCGGTGGCGGCGACGCCCCCGGAGGGCGGGGGTAGGGTTGGGCCCGGTTCGACCCTAAGCACCCCGTTCGGGGCCTGGAGCAGGGGTTCTGGGACTACCCCCGAGGTAGGAGAAGGGTTCCCGTCCTCGGAAGATGACGAGGTTCTGGACGAGTCCCCGAACATACTGTCGCCGCCGTCGGCGGTGGCGGCGGCAGCGGCGGTGGGTAAGGATAACGCTGCGGAGGAGGAGCCTTCGGGATCATCGAAAGCGGAGCCGGCTTCGGTTGCTGTGCCAGCAGGCGTGTCTGTGGAAGGCGCCGGCGACGGTGGTGGTGCCCTCAACGCCGCCTTTGCCCTTCCTCCCCCCCTTCTTGGAGGCGTGTCTGTGGAAGGCGGCGATGGCGGTGCACAAAACGCCGCCTTTGCCCTTCCCCCTCCTCCTGCCGTTGATGTCGCTCCTGTGGCACCCGTTGGTATTACCGGCGCCGTCGGGGATACCGGGTACGGGGGAAAGGAGGGGGAGACCATCTCCGAGGAGGTGTCCCGGGCGGTGGAGGGCAAGGAGGACGAGCAACCTCGCGCCCCCCCCCCGCAGGCGGCAGCGAACGACCCGCGGGCGGCGGATTCCGCTGCTTCGGAGGAAGCCGCCCAGAAGGTGG